CGCACCATCACCTCGGACGATCATCTCGCACTCGAAAATTTACTTAGCTTTTTCCTTAAATAGCATATTATGTTATCACAATGAAAGATAAAATGCCATTCTTTATCACTCTAAAAGACCTTGCAGATAAGTTTAGAGGAAGGTTTGCGTGTTTGGGGTTGAAGTAGACTTCAAGGGAAATCGATCCGGGCTAGGAAGTTGTGTTTCGGGCTAGTAAATTTTAGAAATCACCAGCCCGGTGGCTAGTAATGCAGGTAACCAGGTGTCGAACCCTGAAAAAGGTACAGTCAAAAAGAGAAGGATGCATTATGCGTAAAATGGGCTAAAGATCGATTTTCTATCTAGCTACTTGGGGCACCTAGGTTCATGCTTGTCATAGCACATAAACCACTCCTACCACTGTTCAATAAACCTACCCCAAAGCTTCCCCCCCCATATAGAGAAATGGGTCATGGACATACAAGATGTAGACTTTGAAATGAAATACGAGCCTGGAAGAGATGAAGCTGACCCTCTGGACTTTTTGTCAAGACACCCACTACCAATCATTGGTAATAACAGTACTGAGAGGATTCTGAAGGCAAGTGTATAAGCAGAGCATGCAGTTGTATTGGACAGGATAAAAGAGGAAACATGTCGAGATACTGCACTGCAGAAGCTCAGCACTACCATCAAGAAAGGGGACTGGGAAGCAAGCCAGAAAGATGTTGATCTAGCTCCATTCTATCCAATCAGGGATGAGCTATATGAAACACAAGGCCTGGTATTTAGGATGGAAAGAATTGTTCTACCAACAAAATTACAGCAAAAAGTCATCAAAACAGCCCACGAGTTAGGACATGAAGACGAGACAAATGCACAGAGCCAAATACTGGTTTCCCGGTATGAATGGTGTTATTGACCAAATGCTGGACATTGCTATGATTGTCAAGTCACCACACAAGACTACTGACAGGAACCTATCAAACCATCAGCGATCCCAAAAGAACCATGGGAAGAAATTTCAGTTGATTTTGGAGGACCCTATCCGGATGGTCACTACAATTTGGTAGTTATGGATCAGAGAACCCTATACCCGGAAAAGGAAGTAGTGTTCTCAATGGCAATAAAACCAACAAGGAAAAATTAAAGAAAATCTTCGCTCATCATGGCATACCAAAACGAATGCAGTCCGACAATGGTCCGCCATTTAATTCAAAAGAATTTGTGACCTTTGCAGAAGAAGAAGGATTTCAACACCACAGAGTGACATCCTACATCCCAGAGCTAATGGACAAGTTGAGTGCTTCATGCAGATTCTTAACAAAACAGAAAAAATTTCCCATCTT